CCAGACGAAGCAGCACCCCGAGGCTCAGCACCCCCAGACTCCGCACCCTCCGACTCAGCACCCCCAGGCTCAACACCCTCAGGCTCAGCACCCCCAGACCCAGCACCCTCAGACCCCGCACCCCCCGGCTCCGCACCCCCAGACGCAGCACCCCCAGACGCAGCACCCACAGACGCAGCACCTGGAGCAGCACCTGAGACGACAGCTACCTGAACAGGCGCAGTACCAAGGAGAGGGTCTACCTGAGACACTCCCGAGGGAGCAGGACCCTGGGGTGGGAGGGGGTCTACCGGAGGTGGACCGGGAGCAAGGAAGAGCGGCGGGGGCGGGGGAGGGGCAGAGCGGTAGGGGAAGAGACGGTAGAAGGGAACCGACTCGTCGAACGTGACGTCCTGAGACGGGAGGACACGGCGCGAGGTGGGGTGGTAAAACTGCCAACCAGGCGCGTCAAGGACAAAGCCAAGGAAGGCGCAGGGAATAGCGCGGGCGGAGAGCTTGTCCGTGGACGTATCGCGAACAAAGGCACGAGAACCCCAGACCCAGAACACCGACGCATTGCCAACCTTCCCCGTCCAACGCAGTGTGGGTGAGGTCTCCGGCAAGAAGACACGGGGCCAGAGGTTGAGCTGATGCGCAGCGTACCGGACCGCAAACGGCCACAGAAAATGGGGAGCAGCTGCATGGATCATGGAGGTACGAGCGACCTCCATGACTAAGCCAATGCGGCGCTCAGCAATCCCATTTTGCTGAGGGGAGTCCGGAAGCGTGAACGACTGGGTGATGCCCTCCCCACGACAAAAGTCCCGCAAGAGGTCGGAGGAGAACTCACCACCTCTGTCAGAGTGCGGATGTAGGACAGGGAGGTCCTGACCGAACTGCTCGCGTAGCTGGAGACGGACTGTGCGGATCTAAGGGATCAAGACATCAGAGACCTCACCCTTGCTGCGCAAGGGGAAGACCGTGGTGTACCGCGTGTAGTCGTCAACTACCAGCAGAAAGTAGCGCTCGCGGCCCTGTCCACTGACGCGGGCTGGGCCCCACACGTCCATGTGGAGAGTCTGCAGGGGAGCAGTCGTTGAGGGAAACGAGGAGGAGTGAGGAGCGGCGCGCTGCCGCCCCTCGAGGCAAGGAAGACAGGGCGGGGCAGGCGAGGGCGGTAAGGGAGGCAGAGACGTGGGGAGACCAGAGATAAGGAGACGGGAGTGCATGCCACGAAGGCATGGCAGGGAGGGGTGACCCAGGCGGTGGTGTCAAAGAAGAGTCTGGTGCGACAGGAGGCGACACGAGCAAGAGGCGGCTACCTGACCTGACGCGGACACCTGAGCAGACGAAGCGACCCGAGGAGGCTCGGTAGCCAGCGTGTACAGACTCGACCCTGGCCGACGAGTGAACGTAGCCAGGTGACGCCCCGTCCGTGTGCACGTGCAGATCGACACACGCTGACCTCCAGGAGTGGTGGTAGTGACCATCGCATCCTGAAGGGCAGCTGTACTCACCAAGTTCGTAGAGAACAAGGGGAGGTGAAGACCAGACAGTGAGCTGGACGGAACTGCCGGACACGGGAGGACAGTGGAGGAACGGGCAACGACCGGGCCCCCAGAGGGGTCAGCCAGTCTGACCGGGACAGGTGCAGGGAGAGGAGTGAGAGTGGTGCTGTCACGAAAGAAACAGCGCGAGGCGCCGGAGTCCAACGTGAAAGTGTGCAAGGCCTCAGGAGGCGCAGTACCAGGGGGAGTACCAGACACACTAGCACCTAGAGCAGCAGCCGCTATACCTGGGTCAGGTGGCACACACCGGTAACAGTCACCCTCAGCACTAAAAGACAAAGCATACATGGCAGAGATAATAACATCAAAGTCTAGGTCAAAGATAGCAACTCCTGACTGAAGCAACTGCGCCCAGCGAGGGCGCTCGACGTCGTCACCAAACTCACCACGCCAGGCGTTGTCAAGGCGGGCAAAGCAGTGGCGCTCAGTGTGAAACTTCCCGCATGTCCGGTCCGCATGGACACCCGTGCGAATGACATACGGGCAGGTCTCACTACCCTTACCCGCCCCACGCTGAACCAACCACTCACGGAGCTGCTGGGGCGTCTGGGTCTCGCTCCGACGCTGCTGCTGCTGGCCCCGACCACCACCAGGGCCTCCACGCTGAGGTCCAGACCTACCACCACCGGTCCCACAGCCTCCACTGCCGCCACTCCCTCCGCTGCCTCCACCGCCGCCACCAGAGCCTCCACTGCCGCCACCAGTCCCACCGCTGCCACCACCTCCACCGCCTCCACCTCCTCTACCGCCACCCCCACTATCGCTCCCACTGCCACCTCCACCACCACCGCTGCCTCCACCACTACCCCGGCCACCCTTGCCCTTGTTGTTGCAGCGCTTCGCACTAGTCGAAGCAGCACCAACGTCCTCAGGAACAGAGACGTCTGCAGCAGCAGCAGAGGCGAAGGAGGAGGAAAGGGGGGAGGGGGAGCACCCCTCAAAGAAGGGTGTGCACGGAGTGCCACGAACAGCACCTACAGCAAATGCACTAGTCTCAGCTGCGAGGAGATGCTGCTCGAGGAGGTCAACAGTGAGGGAGGTGGGGCCGAGGGTGAGGAAGTGGTCCCTGACAGAGCGAAGGGAGTCAGGGAGGCGAGTGACTATGAAGTAGAGGGTGATGAACATGGGGGGCTGGTTCGTGGGAAGGAACTCAGCAGGGACGGCAGCGCGGTAGCGAGCGTCGCTAGTGCGCAGGTGGGTAACCAGGTCTGCTACTGTGGCAACAGCCGACAGCTCAGGGAACAGGTAGGGCAGTAGCAGCCTGCCAATAGCAGCAGTGGCAGGGGAGGAGTAGCGAGCAACGACAGCGTCGTACAGGGCCTGTGCTGTCCTGTGCTCTCCAAAGTGAGCACATTCGGTCGCTGGCAGGTGGTTGCGAATGGCTAAGCGGGCAGTAGCGTCACGAGACAGCCACTGGGAACGAGTCGAAACGTCAGCTGTGGTGGGAGGGGCTGGAGCGGCACCGGACACGTGGTCAAACAGTGAGACACTGTCCTTAAGATCGCTCTGTAGGTACAGTTGCAGATCGTCGTGCCATGTGTCAAATGCTACAGGTCTGCCCTCCGGGTCGAACGAGAGAACTCTAAGCGAAGCCATAGCAGCGCAGGACTCAGGAGCAGTAGTAGCAGGAGGAGCAGCAGTAGCAGTAGCTAAGGGGCCAAGAGGCGGGGCCGAGGGGCCTAGGGGCCGAGGGGCCAAACAAGGGGGGAGGGGGGGCGAGGGGCCGAGGGGCCTAGGGGGCCTAGAGGCCTAGGGGGCCGAGGGGCCAAACAAGAGGGCCGAGGGGGGCCCAAGGGGCCAAACACGAGGGCCGAGGAGGCCGAGCCTAGGGGCCGAGGCTAGGGGCCGAGGGGCGGGGCCTAGGGGCCAAACAAGGGGCCGGGCGCGGGCTAGGTACGGGGCCGGGCGCGGGCTAGGTACGGGGCCGGGCGCTGGGCAGGTACGGGGCCGGGCGCTGGGCTCTGAACTGGGGTCGAGGGGCCTAGGGGGGCGAGGGGCCAAACACGAGGGCCTAGGAGGCCTAGCCTAGAGGGCCGAGGGACCAAACGAGAGGGTTGAGGGGCCGAGGGGCCTAGGGGGCCGAGGGGCCAAACACGAGGGCCAAGGAGGCCGAGCCTAGGGTCCGAGGCTAGGGGCCAAGGGGCCGAGGGGCGGGGCCGAGGGGCCAAACAAGGGGCCGGGCGCGGGCTAGGTACGGGGCCGGGCGCGGGCTAGGTACGGGGCCGGGCGCGGGCTAGGTACGGGGCCGGGCGCTGGGCGAGGGACGGGGCCGGGCGCGGGTGTCGACGGGCCGGGGCTAGGTACGGGGCCAGGCGCTGGGCGAGGGACGGGGCCGGGCGCGGGCGTCGACGGGCACGGGCTAGGGAAGGGGCCGGGCGCGGGGCTAGGTACGGGGCCGGGCGCTGGGCTAGGAACGGGGCCGAGCGCGGGCTAGGTACAGGGCCGGGCGAGGGTGTCGACGGGGTGCGGGCTAGGTACGGGGCCGGGCATGGGTGTCGCCAGGGCGCGGGCTAGGTACGGGGCCGGGTCGCGGGCTAGGTACGGGCCGGTCGCGGGCGTCGACGGGGCGCGGGCTAGGTACGGGGCCGGGCGCGGGTGTTGACGGGGCGATCGCGGGCTAGGTACGGGGCCGGTTCGTGGGCTAGGTACAGGCTGGTCGCGGGCGTCGACGGGGCGCGGGCTAGGTACGGGGCCAGGCACAGGTGTCGACAGGGCGCGGGCTAGGTACGGGGCCGGGTCGCGGGCTAGGTACGGTCCGGTCGCGGGCGTCGACGGGGCGCGGGCTAGGTACAGGGCCGGGCGCGGGTGTCAACGGGGCGATCACGGGCTAGGTACGGGGCCGGGTCGCGGGCTAGGTACGGGCCAGTCGCGGGCGTCGACGGGGCGCGGGCTAGGTACGGGGCCGGGCGCGGGTGTCGACGGGGCGATCGCGGGCTAGGTACGGGCCGGGCGCAGGCAAGAGACTGGGCCGAGCGCGGGCTAGGTACGGGCCTATCGCGGGCAAGGTACGGGCCGGGCGCGGGGCTAGGAACGAGGTAGTCGCAGTGTAGCAGGTGGTGGGCCCAAAAGTAACCGACTCCGATTCCATGTGAGAATAACAAACGAGAATGAATGAACTAGCAAACAGTTGGGTACAAGTACTAACCCTAATTGGGTTGTACCCCTTTTGGGCTACCCCACTACGGCCTACACAAATGTATAAGCTATAATGTTCTGACACCCACGCCGTTGCTAGCACCGTGAACCAGGGCGCTGGGCGAGGGAGGGAGGGGCGAGAGAGATGGGAAGACGGGTTTAAGTTTAGGAGGGTGATCCTCGTACTGTGATTGCTTCCAGTAGAGCAGCCATGCTGCGACGCCCAGCCCACACAGCACCCACGCCGTTACTAGCACCGTGAACCAGGGCGCTGGGCGAGGGAGGGAGGGGCGAGCGAGGTGGGGAAACGAGTTAGGCTTAGGCGGGCAATCCTTGTGAGAGCAGCCACGCTGCGACGCCCAGCCCACACCGCACCCCACGCCACCACCAGCACTGTGAGAGCCCACCAGGACGCTGGGCGGGAGAGAGAGGGGAAAGAGAGATGGGAATGGGAGAGCGAGAGAGGAAAACGGGGAAGCTTAGGGTTGGAATCCTCGTACTGCGAGTGCTTCAAGTAGAGCTGCCACGTCGCCACGGCCAGCCCACACAGCACCCACGCCGCCACCAGCACTGTGAACTAGGGCCCTGGGCGGGGGACTTGGGCGAGAGAGGGGCGAGAGAGAGGGGTGAGGGAGAGTCCAGTAGAGCAGCCACGCTGCCACGGCCAGCCCACACAGCACCCACGCCGTTACCAGCACTGTGAACCAGGGCGCTGGGAGGGGGAGGAGGGGGTGGGGGGACGGTGGGATAAGGGGACGGCGGGTAAGAGGAAAGCGGATGAGGGGAAAGCGGATGAGGGGAAAGCGGATGAGGGGAAGCGGACGAGGGGAAAGCGGATGAGGGGAAAGCCGATGAGGGGAAAGCGGATGAGGGGAAAGCGGATGAGAGGTACAGCAGACAAAGGTTGGCGGAGGGGAAGACGGATGGGGAGATGGCTGATGGGGGGGCGGCAGAAAACGAGTAGGCGGATGGATGCAGGGCGTGGCAACCGGGGATGTGTGGGGGACGTGGGGGAAGCACAGGGGAAGAAGGGTGTGGAGAATTGGGTGGGGGAATTGCGTGGGGGGAATCGGGTGAGGGGAATCGGGAGGAAGAAATCGGGTGAGGGGAATCGGCGGGGGGGAATTGGATGGCGGGAACTGGATGGGGGGAATCGGATGGCGGGAGTTGGATGGGGGAGGCCGGATGAGGGGAATCAGATGGGGGGAATCGGATGGGGGGGGGATCGGATGGGGGGAATCGGATGGGGGGAATCGAATGGGGGGAATCGGATGGGGGGAATCGGATGGGGGAATCGGATGGGGGGAATCGGATGGAGGGAATCGGATGGAGGGAATCGGGAGAGGGAAGACCTGCGCCAATAAGGCTGTAACACGGGCTTATAGAGAAACGCCCTCAAAATCACAATAAAGACCCGGGCTTATAGCAAATGCCCAAAAAAAGGGTCTATAGAAGGCTTATAAACGCCAACAACAAGCACATACAAGATAAACTAGTCCCTAAGCTAGCCTTGGGCCTTGAAGGCTTGGTAGTTGAAGCTCTAAGAGTGATGGAGTAGCTTCACCAAGAGAGTAGTTGAAGGCTAGGGCACTTGTGAGGGAGATATCTTGTACTTAGAGAGAAATTCCCATTTCCATTTTTGGTTAATTGGAAGTTGGGAGTTGAGAATGAGCCTGGTTAGCTCACACCCCTCCTAGACCTCCTTGGGGAGCTCTGTTAGAATATGGAACGAATGAATGACTAAACTAGCAAGCAGGTGGGTACAAGTAGGAAACCTAAAAGTGTTGCACCCTATAAGAACTACCCCACTACAGCCTAGATAGACTATAGCATATATGTTTGACACACCCCCATAGGCAAAGTGGGGGAGAACAAGAGGTCACAAGACCAGTCAAGAAAGGCAAAGCAAGCTCAGGGTGGATCACAAAGTCACCACGCAGTCTGAGCACAAGCAAATGGCCACAAGTCCAATTCACATGCAGAGTTTTATAAAGGAGAACAAACAATACAGTGAACACAACCTAGCAAGTGTAAGCATGCAGGTATATGTATAGAGAGTACAGTACAAGCAGAGTCAAGAAGTAAGCAAGTGAGGCACAGTAGGTGCAAGGCCTAGAACAGTACAGAAACGCTGATGATCACAAGGCTGAAGTACCTTGGTGAAAACATCAGCAGTGTTTGCCTGAGAGGCCACGTAAGCAAGACGAAGCTGGCCACGCTGCTGCAACTCTCGAGCAAGGAAGTAGCGCAGAGCAATGTGTTTCGTTCTGTGCTCCAGTCTGTGCTCCTGACACAAGGCAAGCATGGCCTTGTTGTCGACGTACAGAACTGGAGGAGAACGAGGCGCCTCTCCCAAGTCGGTCAGTAGGTAGGTGAGCCAGCGTAACTCCTGTGCAGCCATGGCCCCAGCGTAGATCTCAGCCTCACAACTGGAGATGAGAACAGAAGAAGAGTGGGTAGACCGCCAAGAGACAGAACCGGAGCCAAGACTGAAGGTGTAACCCTGTGAAGACCGCTGCGTAGCCAAGTCGTCAACCCAGGAAGCGTCAGCGTGACCAGTGAGGATAACTCGAGCCCGTCCTCCAAGCACGAGCCCCATGCCCGACGTACTGCACAAGTAGCGCAACACCCTCTTCGTAGCATCCCAGTGCACCTTTCGGTGCTTGCCGGGAGCCACATAGCGAGCCTGAAGGCTGAGAGGGTATGCGAGGTCAGGTCGTGTGCAAGTCATCAGGTACATGAGGCAGCCCACAAGCTCTGGATACGGGCCACTCGGCTCTACGGACTCGTCCGAAGGTGGAGCTGAGAGCGAGTGACCTATAGGCAGAGGAGTGGACTATGGCGAGGAGTACGTGAAGCCGAAGTGCTGAAGGACCTGCTGCACCATGTGTCACTGAGTCAAGGTAATGGTGCGCTGTGCTCTGTCCCGGGTGATCCGCAAGCCAAGATAGCTTGTCAGCTCACCCAGGTCTGTGCACGTGTGTCTCTTCTGCAGCTCGGACTTCACGTGGGCGAGTGCCTCAGTGTCAGCAGTAGCAAAGACCAAGTCGTCTACGTACACGAGAACGTAGAACGGCGGCAGAGTGGTGTCAGTGCGTAAAAACAACGACGGGTCAGCAGTGGAAGGAGCAAAACCAAGAGCAGCAAGAGTCGTCCTCAGTGTGTCGTGCCACTCACGGGGTGCCTGACGGAGACCGTAGACTGGCCGCCGGAGACTCCACTGGGTACCAACAGGAAAAGACCCAGTGAAGCCAGGTGGGCGGCGCAGCCAGATCTCCTCGTGCAGGCTGCCCTGTAGGAGGGCTGTGCTGAAGTCAAGCGAGTGGAGCTCGTATTCACGGTGAGCGGCGACGTGCAGCAGTACCCAAAGAGTGGTCATCTTTGGGGTAGGGGAGAAGGTCTGGAAGAAGTCAACTCCCTGTCGCTGACTGAAGCCACGTGCAACATAACGCGCCTTGAAGACAGGCGGAGAACCCGGCGGCCGCTTCACCCTGAAGATCCACATGCCACTGACGATGTTCGCCCCAGGCGGGGGAACCTCGTCGACGTAGGTGCCTGTGGACTTCCAGGAAGCCATCTCGGCGTCCAGGGCTGCCTGCCACTGTGAGGAATAGGGACCCTCTATCGCCTCTGCGTAAGAGCGCGGGGTCGGGATGTCTGGTGCATCCGGGTCTCCCTCAGGGCCAAGCAGAATGGACACGAGATGGGGTACAGCAGCGGCAAAGCACTCAAACTCCTCCTGTCTGTCCTCAAGAACGTCCGTGCCAAGAGCACACTCACCCCCGACGTACGGAGGACAGACAAACGCAGACGCAGACTCAGCAACAAGACTAGTGGCGTAGTCTAGGCGACAGGCAGCAGCAAAGTCAACAAGCTCAGCAACGAGAGCAGATGCAGCAGTGGACTCAAACAAAGGGTCAGTGACAGCAGTGGCCAGAAAGCGCGAGACAGTAGGACTAGCAGCACGAAGGGAGTCAGACTCCGGGTCCGGACCATCAGGAAGAGAGGACGCAGGAGGAGACGGCAGAGGGACACGCTGTGGAGCAGTGGAAGGACGCAGTGTCATAGAGTGAGTGCCAGGGACAGGAGGAGGGCGCGGACGCGAAACACGACGACCAGCGCAAACAGGGCGGACAGGCAACGCAGAACTAGACTCAGGTGACGAAGAACGAGACTCAGGTGACGCAGGACGCGACTCAGGCTCACGACGCTCCGTAAGACCTCTAGTTGGTCCAGAGTAAGGAGAAGGACCAGGCAGTGGAGAGGTCGGCTGTAACTGCGACTGAGACTGGACAGGCTGTGGACTCAGTAAAGGAGGAGTAGGACCAGGAGAAGGCGGAAGACCAAGAACCTGCTGAAGGAGCGGAACGTAGTACGGCCGCGGCCGCGCAGCGCCTCCAGAAACAGCAGAGACAGCACCAGTACCCTTAGTAGGGTCGCCAGCTACAACTCCCGCAGCACCACCAGCTCCAGTACCTCCAGCAGCTCCAGCTCCAGAAGCACCTCCAGTAGGAACAGCTCCAGCACCTGCAGCTCCAACTCCTACAGCACCACCAACCCCAGCAGCTCTAGTACCTCCAGTACGAGCACCTCCAGGACCAGCTGCTCCAGCACCTCCAGCAGCACCTCCAGCAGCTCCAGTAGCACCTCCAGCACCAGCAACACTAGCAGCACCAGCAGCACCTCGACAGCGCCGAGCGTACCACTCACGAAGCTGCTGCGGAGAGAGGGGCTCCCGCCGCGACGGGACACCCGGAGGACCTCCAGACACAGCACGCTCAGGCTCAGCACCCCCAGACTCAGCACCCCCAGGCTCCGCACCCCCAGACACAGAAACCCCAGGCTCAGCACCCCTAGTCCCCGCACCCTCAGGCTCAGCACCCCTAGCAGCACCTGAGGCGACAGCTACCTCGACCGGCTCGGCAGGGTCTACCTAGGACACACCTGAGGGGGCAGGACCCTGAGGGGGGAGGGGGTCTACCGGAGGAGTACATGGTGCTAGGAAGAGTGGCGGGGGGGGGAGAGAGGCAGTGCGGTAGGGAAAGAGACGGTAGTAAGACACCGACTCGTCAAACGTGACGTCTTGAGAGGACAGAACACAACGCAAGGTGGGGTGGTAGAACTGCCACCCGGGGGTGTCAGGGGGGAATCCAAGGAAGACGCAGGGAACGGCAAGAGAGGACAGCTTGTTCGCGGAAGTATCGCGGACAAAAGCTCGAGATCCCCAGACACGGAACACAGACGCATCGCCAACCTTCCCCGTCCACCGCAGAGTAGGTGTGGTCTCCGGCAAGGAGACACGAGGCTGAAGGTTGATCTGATGCGCAGCGTACTGAACCGCGAACGGCCACAGAAAATGGGGAGCAGCTGCATGGATCATGGACGTACGAGCGACGTCCATGACCATGCCAATGCGGCGCTCAGCAATCCCATTTTGCTGTGGGGAGGCCGGAAGTGTGAACGTTTCGCGGATGCCCTCCGCACGACAGAAGGCCCTCAGAAGGTCGGAGGAAAACTCACCACCTCTGTCTGAGTGCAGACGCAGAACAGAAAGGTCCGAGCCAGAACGCTCGCTGAGCTGGCGA